CTTGGTCATTACTTAAAATTTTACTTTTTGGTTTAAAAAAAAGGTTTTTACACAGTCTCTGCTCCCACTCTTGAAAAAAAACATTTTTTGCAAAGTTTTTTAAATTATTTTTTTTCAAGTGGGTGCTACTTCAAAAAAATACTTATTTAGGGTTAAGTCTGGTTACTATCTCATTTTTGTTGAAAAAGATATTATTTATTCAAATTGGAGTGCATATTTTTGCATTTAAGAGCAATTAAGTTAATTACGGATTATAAAACTGGCTAAATTTGTGAGGGCAGCGCAAGGGGCCAGATAAACCCTGATGCAATTAAAATTTTCCCAAGTAAAACCTTAAACTTGAGAATTTACAAGACAGGATGTCAACGATTGCAAGGTTATCAGGACGATGATTAATATCTGCCTGAGAGAATCCACAGTCCACCCATATAATCCAATCCTAGAGAGAAGGTCCTACCTGTATAATCTGGATTAAGTAGCCTTTACGCATCATACAAGCATCCTAGTGACTGGTCAGGGCATAGTTCTTTCATAGAAATAATGTTAGGTTTTAACTGATTCTTTTTTAGTCACCATTATTCATCTTATTATGCAATAAACAAACATTTTTGCAAAGGAATTGAGTCTTTGTCACAAGCTCAAATTTTCTAATCCCTATATCTTAACAACTAGATGGTGTAATTACACTCGCGGATCCAGGGGGGGGTCAATGGGTCGACGACCCCCCCCCCCCCTTTTGAAGAAGGGGAGGTCAAGAGTATCTTTTGACCCCCCCTTTTCCGGAGGATAACCTAAAAGTTTACTTTAATATGCTTTAACAAAACTAATGCTTAAATCAAATCAGCCTATTCTCTTGGGAAAAAAGTATCTTTGAAATTTTAGAATGTGTAAATCTCAATTTTTGAGTTGTGTGAGTGTGTGACAGTGTGTACACCCTCGAAGAAAATATAAGGCAAAAACGATAGTTTTTAGGTTTTAAAACCATCGTTTTAAGTTCGTTTTTTCCTTATGTTTTTACCTAGGATAACAAATTTGCATGTTTGATAGTAGTAAACTTCTACAGAAGACAATTGCAAATCGTTGAATCCGTAAATCCTTTAAAAATCCAAAAGTATTAAAAGTTTCTATAAAACGAATCTAGCAATTGCCCATCGCTATATTTAAACCTACAGAGTTAACTACAAAGAATAGGAGTTAAGAACAGATTAAAACTCTACAATCTTGAAATCGCATCTTTTGGGGCCAACTTGTAACTTAATTAGTCACATGAAAAAACACCCTGAACTTTTTGCAGTTAATATCTTAATCTTAAACAATATGTAAAATTGTAATTAGAAATTATGTAATGCCAATGGAAATGGAAATATATTTTCATATAGAGTAATATGTCTGAGTGAAAAATAGATTATTATGTCTGAGTGCGCTCTAAGGTAGAAATATTTTTTTTACATACTATAAGAGTAATTTTCTGTTTTGAGCACTTAAAATACTCACTTTTAATGCTTATTTCTGTTTAAAATTTTAGGGGGGCTACGCCCCCTGCCCCCTGCACCCCTCTCGCTCACTACGTTTCGCTCGGTACTATACCCAATGTTATTCAGACTTTGACCCCCCCCCCCCTTTTGAAAAGCTGGATCCGTGTTCATGAAATTTTAATATTTCCCGGAACTTTTCCTCGCAGTCCGTAACCAAGGAACTCTTAGAAAAAGGACACTTGAAATCATTTAGTGACAGTAATATTAGTTTTTTAATATATACTTAATAAAGTTGTGTTGTCATGTTGCTCTTGAAATCATTTAGTGACAGTAATATTAGTTTTTTTAATATATACTTTAAAAAGTTGTGTTGTCATGTTGCTCTTGGAATTGGAAACTTGATTTCGTGAAGGTTAAAAACACAACAACTTATAAAATCTTGGTAAAAAAAAGAGATTGGAATAGAGAGAAAAACCCTAAGACGAGTATAATTAATTCTGTTTAATTGCAGTTCCTTTTGTCAAATAGTAAGTAGATAATGTAGTATTCATTCGCTTATTTACTTAATTGCATCTTTAATTCTCATAATTGAGGGGGGGGGGGAGATTGAGGCTAAGCTTTGTTGAAATTCCTCCCAGCTTGATAATGTTCCGTAAGGACTTTACGGATCCAAATTGATTCGGAAAAAATGGAAACTCAATGGGACAAAATTAAATCTTATTTAAGCTCCAATATTTCTACAAAACCCAGCCCCAATAGCAAAATCAAATATCTGTTTGAGAACTTCAATGTTGGTATTTTAATAAGCAAGTACTAGGGACTAAATTGAATAAATAGGAAAAAATTGTTATAATATAATAGTAGTAAACCACTTTTCTTGTTGTGCTGGTTAAAATTGAAAAGAAGCGGTTCAACTAAGTCTACGTAGTTTAACTATGTTTAGTTATTCTTTAAGTATAGTCTCCAAATCAGATTCAATGAATATCGAGAATTGGCTAAATTGCCCAAACATAGTTGAAACAAATTATTTCGTTTACACACCGCCGGTTATGGTTAAATAGAAGCAATGCAAAAATTCTACGTATTTAAACTATATCTATTTGTTCATCAATTATGGTTGTACATCAATAAACTATTAAATAAGAGAAATTCAAAAGCGTGTTTCACATTAAATAAAAACTTTTAATGTTTTAACCTATCGTTCATCATTCTGCCAATTTATGATAAAACGATACAAAATGGTTAGATCCGAAAAGAGGGTAAATGACAAAAAAAATTGTATTGTTGGAATTGGACCCAATAGTTTCGAAAATACGTCTAAAAGATTGGAGATAAAATAATTCAGATTTTTTAAAACTATCCTTATTAATATTTCCAAGAATGAAACATTAATTATATATTATGGAGCTATATAAACTCGACCATAAATGCAATATTCCTTCTTGAAATATATATATAGTATATCTTAGAATACAAATTTGTGAAATTGCCTGCTGTAGAAACACGAACAGGACTAGATGGTAGAATAAAAAGTGCAAATCATCAAGGATTACTTGACTGGAATTATCTGCCATTTTTTACATTCATATATTCTCATACAATTTACATTCAATTCTTCATATTACTCTTTTTAAATAGCGAACATTTTTTAAGACCAAAAAAATGTTGAACCAAATAATTGTAGAAATTTTTAAAAACGAGAACAAAAATCATAACCTATGGATATATAATAGACTTTTAACATTTCATTTAATTTCGGTTGCATTTTGAAATGTTTAAAATGTTGGTAGATTATGAAATTTAAAAGTATTATTTGGTCAAAAATCTTTTTTTTTAATTATTAAAACATCAGCGTTTTCGTAGAACCACTAGATAAACTAGATATGTTCATAAAATATTATATTTTTAACTTCCAAGTTCTAAAAAGTGAAGTAAGGCTTCGCCTAATGTGAACGATAATAAATACATAAGGTTTCATTTTTAGCCGACACGTATCCAAAAAAATATGTTTTTTTTTTGGTGTGAACAGTTCATAAAATCAAATTTTCTAATATACTTTCTGTCTTTGTAACGTGATAGTGTAAACCTTTGATATTTAAAACTTAGATGATTTGATCTAATAGAATGCATGAAGTATTAAAGGTTTTGGACATCGGGTTGAAAATGATTAAAAAATCGAGTTTGTTTCAAAAACTCAGTTCCTTTACGGTTTAACGGCGAAGTTTAATTGAAATTAGACATTAGAAATATTAGAGAGGCAAAGCTTTATGCCTAGTACATGGCACACAGTTTTCATGAATATATACTGGGATCTTATTCCGACAGAAAAGTGTACGACGAATCAAGGTTCGATTCTTTTCATTTTCTTTCCTTATATAAATGTGTTGATGTTCGGTAATTTAGTGCAGTTTTTATTCTTTTTTTACTTAGAATGTATCAGACGTGTTAAGATTATTTTTTTTAAGTATCTGGAATTAATTTTTGGAGCTCATTCCAGTTTTCTTCTTTTAATCTTATATTACTAAATCATTTGTTTTAAGTTTAGACTATTTTATGTTTCTAAATTCCATCTTGTTTAGTCTCTTACAGTCGACGCTATTTCAATTTTTGCACTCACAAGTCACAAGTAGAGAATATGTGCAATCCAAATATCAAATATACCCATTTTTACGAATCTAAAATTTTGTTAGAATATGAGAGCATTTTACACATGTATTCATAAAAACACTCCCTTCTCCAATCCAGCACTCAAGACCTAACTTAGACAAAGTTCATTTTTTTGCTCCTTGGCAGAGTTCCCTTGATTTTAGGCTCATGAGGTATAGGCAAAGGACTTGAGTCTTTGTCACAAACTCAAATTTTCTAATCCTTATATCTTAGCAACTTGATGGTGCAAAACTTTGATATTTCAAACTTAGATTATTTAATCTACCAGAATTCATAGTTTGAAATATCTAAGGTCTACGGCATTGGGTTGAAAAGATATAGGGATTAGAAAATTTGAGTTTGTGGCAAAGGCTCAAATCCTTTAAGACCTTTTTGTTCTCATGAGTCATGACTAACATATTTAAAAGACTAGTTGCGAATCTAAACATAAAAGATTTTAATTCAACGTTAAATATATTTAAATTTTCCATGGCCGTCCTGATTCCCCCCCCCCCCATGCTTAACTAAACTCTTCTTTTTTTACATGTATTGATCATCCCCTCTTTCGACCTCCACCTTAATCTTCCTTTTGTAACCTCCCCCCTTTCCCTCCCAGGCCACTAAACCGTCTCCTTCCTCCCACCTTAGGTCATACATTGAATCTTAATTACACTAGTATGGCTTCAGGGGAGAACATTTTTGTAGATTTTGATGAAATTTGTTAACAATTTTATGTTTTTAATTATAATTAACATTTTTAACCAATTTGAAATTGTACATTTTAAAAATTTCCCCCCTATTGGAAAAATATGTTATAAATATTCGTATTTATCATCAGCAATGTCTATTCTGTTGTTATCCGTCTTCAAGAAACTTTATTTTTCATTAATTTCCAAACATGGGAGGAACAGCAAAGATTTTCAAAAAATGTGCCCCTAACGGTAAAGTTTTTAATTATGTTGCAAAATATAACTAATACCCATACAAAGCTTAAAATAAGATTTTGTTTTTAAAATTTCAGATATTAGAATCATTTCTTGAATTTCTTTAAAAACGAATTTTTCGTCGGAAAAATATTTTTTTGGGAATTTTAGAAATTCAATTTAAAAAAAAAAAATTTTTAAATAAAGCAAGGGAATATTGCAATTCTATGAAAAATGTTATCTACAATTTTGTATTAACCTTGCTGGAAAAAACTTTTTTTTATTTGTAGCATTTTTTCTTTTCTTTGGGTGTAAAGCTTTTGAGGTCCTAAAGTTTTTTAATTTAAAAATAATAAGGTAACATAATTTGAAATTCTCAGCAACAAAAAAAAATATTTCTCTTATCAATGAATTTTTGATTATGGATTAAAAAATCTAAAACTGTTGAACTTTTAAATTTAGAATGATGTGGTATCCATCAGAAAATAGAATCTTTGCATAGCTTAAAAGCATTGGCTAATCTTTACATTTCAAGCCAAAAATGCATTATTATGCTATTTCATAAAGTTGTTAAAGAATTAAATGTTATTTTTACTATGATAAAAAAGCTCTATATATTGAAATTATTTTTTTTTAATATTATTTTTTGAAAATCAAATAGAAAACTGTATTTTAAGGACGAGTATATGTTTACCTGGGGAAAAGAGAATTTGTTCAGTGTGATGGAGCAACTGAGCCTGTTTCTGGAATAGTTTATATTCAGGTAAATGTTTACTATAGTGGGATCCAAAAAGTAATGGTTTGTCATAATTTAGCAGGGGGCGGAAACGTCATTTGTGTGTGTCTGTACCAAAAGAGCATGTGTAAGGAATACCGAACCGAAGGCGTGTACTGTAGGTATATACAGTATTCATAAGAATCTCGGTATTTGTACAGTCTAGGAGAGTACATTTGTTTATTGTTGATTGTTTACTTAAAAATAAGTTTAATATACATGTAATATATTATTTACATATTTAAGTCAACACTATAAGCCAAAAAGAATATAATTTGATAAAAGTTTACAAGAAACTATTTGTATTCAAGCTTAATTATAATTGACAACATTGTTCTGCAACTTCCTTGACGGTAGTCATGTTGTGTGTCTGTACCAAAAGAGTGTGCCTGTGTATTACCGAACTCGTCTGCAAAGCAGTGCGACTGGCTTTCTCATGCCAGACCAGCGCCTTTATTCCTATTCCCTGTAATTTAGATTTTTACATAAATATATATATATATTTATAAAAACATCTAAAATTTATATATTGGGGATACATAAAAATGAATATCTGGCAATAATTTTGAATCTAGGACTGGAAGGATACTCTGAAGGGTAGGAAGGTGTATGTCCAGCTGGTAGTTACCTTTAGACATGGTCGGGAAGAGGACGAGACTATGGGACTATCCTTCAAGAAGGAGCTTATCATTGATCGTACAGAGGTAGGTTAAAGTTATTCTTATACTTACACACAACACGTTTCGACCTTTTAATGTCCCTTTTTCTCGTAACAATTGTTACAACTTTTCAACTTTTCAAGCCGCCATTTTTTCATTTTTAAAAATACTTCACATTACATGGTTAAACAAATATTGGATTTGGTCAACCCTGCTCTAAATTGTGGCTCTTTATCGCTTGGGTATGACTCGAATCTTTCTCCCCTTTTCTGATTTAAGTAATATGCACTGTATCCAGTGGTGGACATAAGGGGGGTTATTGGGGTTATTTACCCCCCCCTAGAATCCTGGGGGTAAATACCCCCCCCTAGAATCCTGGGGGTAAATACCCCCCCCTAGAATCCTAGAGGTAATTACCCCTGAACATATATTCAGGTCCTGAATAGCAGGGGTTACTCCACTTGCTGCCTCTAGAAGTTACAGTTTACTTCAAAAAAAAATGCATTCCCTATTGATTAGTCTGCACTCAAGTGCATTTTCATGATAGTAAAAGTTTTTGCGGCATTTTGCAGATGCCTAAACAGTTATAAGCTTTGAAAACTGTTTAAAATTTAAACAAAAAATAGAAACGGAACTTATGTATATTGATAATTAGGTTGCTAACATGGCTGCGGAACACCATGAAAACGGAAAGGCTATCTAG